GTGCCTTGTGTACTTTATTTTTTCCCCAACATTTATAATTGTGAGTCTACATATTAATATTAATTATATATTATATATGTTTCTAATTATCAACCCTTTAAAAAGTAATTAATTAATTAAATAAATAAAGTTATTGAACTTTTCAGGTGATCTCCTAAATACTATGAGTTTTTCATGTAATATTTTATTTTATATTTATTATAGATTAAAATAAATAAATCATAGTTCTCAATCTAAACATAATAATAATGCATTGTTAATCTTCTATCATTAAGTGAAGTAAGACTTCCTCACGAAAATATTTAAATTTAGAAGACACTCAGATCCTAATATATTCCATCATAATTAGTGAATTTAATAATCTTTCGTATTATTTATTAATTAATTCTTGATGATTTAACAGGAGATTATGACATTATAAATAAATCCTTTTATCTGTTAATATTTTCCTAATATTTCTTTGCCAAACTAAAAAAAAAAAATGATTGATACTATGTCTTCCTCGATGGCTGAAGAAGAATGGCATATAATATATATATATATACACAATACAAAAACATAGTTTCTACAAAAGTTGTTCAAGTTCTATATAGAATTAATCTTTCTATGGACTCTTTTGAGCGTATTTTTGTAGAGACAAGCTTCTTAGTTTTCTTTACTTTCCCAACGCTCTCTTCCCACAAAAATTCTTCTAAGAACACTTAAAGGACTTGAAGCTGGGATACACAATTAATATTATATATCTTCAGCATATTATAAGAACGTAGCATATCCCACATTTCCAAAGAATACATACAACTTTGTATTATACAAAACTCTTCGTTCGCTCCACCTTTCTCTTCGATTCATCAAAGCCTCGAATACTTGTTGAAATTCTCGATAAACTAAGCTCGCCCCGGAGGTCGTTTAGAGTTCCCAGCTCTTCTGTGAAAAAAAAATAATAATTAAAGAAAAAATGATAAAAATAAAATGAACCAAAATTTAAAAAAAAAAAAAAATCATAAAACATAATTTTTTTCAAAACTACAATTTTTCACAGAAAAATAAAAAAATAAACTAATTAAAATTTTCGTAATTTATAATAAATTAGAGTAGTACACGTAGTGGGTGATTTGCTTAAAGGAAAAGTAGGGACAGAGGAAAGAAAAGAAAACACAAGGTAAAAAGGTGTTATAAATGCAGTTAAAAAGAAAAAGGAAAAGGGAACCATAATTAGCTTTAAGTAAATGAGATTTTAATGAATGGACGAATACATATGTGTGTGTGTGTGTGTGTATATATATATATGTATGTACATATATGTATATGTGGATGGAATAAAGTCCATGCACATACTTCATTATCTCTGTGTTTGTATGTTTTTAAGTTACTACTCACTTGTGATTTCAATAAACTCTAATAAAATACCAATGTAACAGTTGAAAGTGCACGTGACTATTAATTGGGTTTAATATTTACTATTGTTTTTTTTTTCTGAGAATTTTTTAGAGGAATATTAGTATTTATTACTATATAAAAAAAAAAAAACCTTTTGTTTTAATGTTAAATTCAAGTTTAGAAATTAGTTCAAAAAATTTAATTATTAGATTAAGAGATTAGTGCCAAATAAAGGATTATAACATGAAAAATTAGGCACTAATATTGTGAAATTCAATTTAAATTAAGCAGTTACTATATTAATTAGAAAAGAAATGGTAGATCGTGAGAATTTATGAGCAATTAATTTCAGAAAATTAACATATATATATATATGTGTGTGTGTGTGGGTGGAAACAACAATAGTTTAGCCAAAAAACAAAATTACTTGATTTGGCTTCAATTTAT